GAAGTCCTCTGGAAATCTTCAATAATTGTTGTTGATTGCAGATGTGTCTAATAGTTCCCATTGATTTAGCTTGTAAAGCGGGGAGAATGGCGCTAGGCTTACCGCACCGTGACGTCACTGCCGGATTATTTTTTAAAAAATTTTACTGATTAAGGCTAAATTCATTAAATCACTGCAAACGTATTAGTTTTAGGTATAAATAATGATCTTTTGATTATTCCCTGCTGACCGGACTTTTCCTTTAGTTCTTGTTTTATCATTTAATTCCTGTTTTTTTTACTTTTTTTTTTACTCCATTGTTGAACAGGAAAGGAAGCTTTGACTTTCACTGACCTCCACCAGCAGAGTTTGGATCACCGTGTCGATCCGGCCAGCTTTTGGCACCGTGGTCACCTCATTGCCACACAGAGCGAGGTTCCTCAGGGCCTCGGCGCTGACCGTCAGGTTCACAGCGCCTGTGTACACAGACACACACAGACAGACGCAGGGGGGGGGGTTAATCGATTCCCACCTGTCAGCGGTGTGTACAGAGGAAAGACGGCTTCCCATCTGCTCCTCCAACCGACTCATTACCCTTCCTGTCCCGTCATCCTTCCTCTGTTTTCCTTCCTCCTCCTGTTTACCCGCTCATTAATCCCCATTTGTTGCCTTATTATTCCATGTCTCCATGCAGCTCTGTTTCCCAGGCCCTCCCTCGCTTCCTTCACAGCCCACCATTCTTCACACGGAGGACAAGTACAGATCAGCCCCTCAGGGAGAGGTTTCTGACTGTTTCGTCAGAGATACTACCTGACTTGTTAGTACAAGTGATTGTCAGCATCCCTCTGAGGGGGGGGGGAGTTAGAGGATCGCGGTTTGACATTCATCAGAACCCCCGTCTCCATCCCCGCTGACGGAGGCTGATGGGAATCCTCGGCTTCCAGGCCAGCGAGGCAGCGCCGCGGAACACAGCCTCTGCTTCCCGCAGCACGCGCTCCCGCTCCGTCAGCGCCGTCAGGAGATTTAATTAGTCGCTCACAACCAGATTTCAGTCGCAAACTGATGGACGGAGAATGACGTCGACATTTCATTTAATGAAATGCAGAGAATGGTTACTGGTGACGGAGGATTCAGGTGATGAGAGCGGCTTACATGGTCAACAGGGTTTCCTATATTTATGAATATTCTAGATTAGTTTGGTTTAAAAAAATAAATAAAATAAAAAGAAAATAGATGTTTTGATGACAGGCAGAGACAGTAAGTAAGCTTTCCTGAACCAGAACTATAGTCCATCAGGAACAGTCTGTCCTAACAGCCTGAGCTCCTCTGGTTTAGTCTGAAGGTGCATCATTTAACCAGCTACTAAACTTAACTCGCTCTAAACCGTGTTCTGCATGGCTCTGTGTAGAAACAGCAAGACTGGAAAAAAGTTAATCTAAATAACTAATTTTTACCTTAAAGTAAGTGCATTTTGTCTTGAATTGAGGAGGTAAGAGACACTTTGTCAATGGAACGAGACAATTTACATTTTAAATAAGAAAAAAAACTATTGCATTGTCTTATTTAAAGTGCTTTTTATCTAACTGTCTTATTTTAAGGATAAAAATACTCATTCATTCGGCAGATCATCTTTTTTACCTGCTCTAATTAAGGATAAATACACTTAATTTAAGAAATGTTAACTAACGTCTAGATCATCAAAACACTGAACCAGACAAGCAAAAAATGGAAATCTAAATAAGTCAATTTTTTTAA